TGTCCACTAAACCCATATTTGAAGTTGAAAGCTTAAGGAGGGTGTGTTGAATTAGCAAGGCATCTTTCTGGCTCAAACATCAACAAGGTGGGAGACATAAAGGACCCTTTATGCAAAACACCTCAGTGATGTTCTTTTGCTCTTCACTTAAAACAGGAAGACCAATAATTACAGCTACTTAATCTCAATTTCGTCACAATAGAAACTATTGGAAAATATTTCAAAAGTTGTATCAGTAAGAACCTATGCATTTATGTTTTATTCTCAAAATCTGTTGATGTTTTCTGAGTGTGAAACATGATTTCACCCAGAACACAAGTTAGTGCTGATAGCTTTGCTAAGAGCACCCTTTACATCCTTATTTCTTAAGCTGTAGATCAGCGGGTTCAACATGGGGATAACAACTGTGTAGAAAACAGAGGCCATTTTATCTGTGTCCATTGAGTAACTCGAGCTGGGTCGAAAATACATGAACAGGAGTGTGCCATGAAATATGGCCACAGCTATAAGGTGAGAGGCGCATGTGGAGAAGGCTTTGCGTCTGCCCTCAGCTGAGTTCATCCTAAAGATAGTCGTGATGATGTAGCTGTAGGAGAGGAGGACAGTGACAATGCTGAGTCCTACAACACAGCCAATGAAGGTGAACATCACTATCTCGTTGATGGAGGTATCTGAGCAAGAGAGGGCTAGCAAGGGTGGGATGTCACAGAAAAAGTGATTGATGACATTTGAATTGCAGAAGGACAATCGAAATGTCAAGCAAGTGTGGATTGCTGAGTCTACCAAGCCTACAAGGTAGGCAACTGCCACTAGCTGGGTACAGATCCTCCTGGACATTGCGATTGTATAAAGAAGTGGATTGCAGATGGCAACATATCGATCATAGGCCATGACAGCCAACATGAGACATTCCACATCTGCAAAGGCACCAAAAAAATACATTTGGATGGCACATAAATCATATGGAATTTCCTTTTGCTCAGATAAGAAATCAGCCAGCATCTTTGGAGAGACAGTGGAAGAATAGCAGATGTCACAGAAAGACAGATTGCTCAGGAAATAATACATGGGTGTGTGAAGTCTGGGGTCTACCTTGATCAGCAAGATCATCCCTAGATTGGCAATCAAGGTTATGCCATAAACAAGGAAGAAGAACACAAAGAGCCCCTTTTGCACATCTTGTCTGCCAGATAGTCCCAAGAAGATGAACTCAGTAAACAGAGTGAAGTTCTCAACTGCCATTGTTCAGATCTGGAAATTCCTGTATATGTAAAAACAAAGTGAAA